CAAGCCTTTCTAATCTGGGTGATTATCATCGTTATCCTTAAAGTTTTTAATACATTAATTGCAGATTCTTGTTTTTAAGAATCTATTGCACTTTCCCCGTTTTAGCGAATTTCCCATATAGGGAATAAGCTATTACCGTAGTACTCATGGTAAGACTTGGACCCGGGACCGATTTACTTTTCCGTGTTGAGGTCCCTAGAGGCCAAAAACACCATCCGTTCGAATTCATATATACAGAGTGTCTCACGAGAGGTGTCTCAAATTGATTACGGAAAAACGGTTTAACGTACAAGGATGAAATAAAATTATTTCCACTAAATCGACCCCAAGGAATAACGTAAAAATATTTTTAACTTTTTCCCAATACAGGGTGTGCCAAAAACTGAGGGTCACTAGTTCGAATCTCGGAATTTTCAAATGTAAACATATATCATGTTATACATCATTTTAAAGGTATTTGATAGACAAACATTTTGGTGAAAACAGAAATAAGTTATCTTTTCCCGTTTCAAAATGGCGGCAGTTTTTTTTTGAAAAAAATCTATATAAAAATTTTAAAAAGCAACATATGTCAAGTGGCACATCATTTTATAGGTTTTTTCCTAACAACTTTGTAATTTACACTTACTTCGTATCTCTTTTAGTTTTTGCGTAAATAACAAAAAACCTAATTTTCCTATATCAAATGCGTGTTATTTGGGTTTGACGTGGTTTAACACTTCATCAAATTGGGCCTTTAGTGTTGTGTTGTACGAAGTAAGTGTAAATTACAAAGTTGTTAGGAATTAAAAACCCTATAAAATTATGTGCCACTTGACATATGTTGCTATTTAAAATTTTTTTTAAATGAGCATTTGCAAATTTTCAAAAATATTTTTTTGGAATTTTTATAATTTTAAAAAATTGTTACTTGTAGCATATCAAAGTAAAGCTAATTTCATAACGAGTAAGAAAATTCAACCGGAGAAGGGATAAATGCATTGGTATAGGAAACACGGAGTATTAAAAAAATATAGATTTTTTCCAAAAAAACTGCCGCCATTTTGAAACGGGAAAAGATAACTTATTTCTGTTTTCACCAAAATGTTTGTCTATTAAATACCTTTAAAATTATGTATAACATGATATATGTTTACGTTTGAAAATTCCGAGATTCGAACTAGTGACCCTCAGTTTTTGGCACACCCTGTATTGGGAAAAAGTTAAAAATATTTTTACGTTATTCCTTGGGGTCGATTTAGTGGGAAATAATTTTATTTCATCCTTGTACGTTAAACCGTTTTTCCGTAATCAATTTGAGACACCTCTCGTGAGACACCCTGTATATATATGTCCTTCAGCGCGATAACTCAAGCAAAAATGATCTGATTTTGATGAAATTTGGTATAAACGTGTAAACCTACATTTATTCGAATGAGTTCACGAACCAGCATGATCGGACTATGGGAACGGGGTTTTATATGGGGTTTTATGGGGTAAAAATAGGGTTTCCCCATTTTTGACCCTAAAAACACAAAATTTTACAATTTCTTTCCAAACCATTTTGTAGAGCTTAAAAAAAACGAATAATTTAGTAAATTGAAGCGTTGTTGTGCACCTAATGGTTACGGAGAAAATTCCAAAAAATTGTAAATTTAAAATTCCCATGTTATTCTTATGGAGAATAAGTCAACTGTTGTAGTTTGCTTGTTTATGAACATATTTTGATCGAATTTGGAAAATACTTTCATTTCTTACTAAAATATTAACAAAAAAAACACTTTTACCCTCCCTGTACAGCAAACCTAAGTACTCGTTAAACTAATTCTATTTAAATAGGAAATAAATGTGATATTTTTACTGATGCATTTTAGTGTAAATCCAACCAGGTTGATGGAAATTCGCTTAGTCTGCAGGTTTGCTGCGGTGGGGGTATTTTTTTTTACTTTTTTCTCAAAAAATTATTTGTATACGTTAAAACTTATGATAAACCATTTTTACCATCCTTTGAGCCCAACATTTGTAAAATTATACAAATAAAAAAAATGGCAAAACTACAAAAATGGTTAACGACAAATATGACACCAAGATCTTTTAAATCGGTTCATAATTGGGGCTACAAACAGTAAGAAGTAAAACCCTTGCATTAGCGTGCGCCAGACGGGTAGTGCGCAGCCCTAAATATATATATATATATATATATATATATATATTATTATATCCATGTACAAACATATACAGTTGCGTACTATGACAAGGTTTTATTTATGACTATTGGCGATCTGACTACTTTCTTTTTGGATTCTAGTAAATCTTAACTCGTATTTCTTTCTTTTGAAGTGAACAGCTCCTTTTACGATGGCTGTTTTGTTTTACAGAGTTGGTTACGGCTGCCAGAAGCTCCTCGAGCAATAACACAGATACTACGTTAAAGATGGCAGTAAAACACACTTCTTCTTCTCACTCAGACAACTCTTTCCGTGAGAGAGTTTGTAAGCCGACTATTCCAAAATGCTGCACAATCTGCATATGACACTGCAGTGTATCGCGTAAAATAGTTTACAAAACAATGTCGTATTAGTTAAGAGCCTACAAGATGTACATTCCATAATCAAGCTGAAAATTAGTGATTTAAAATGTCTTCACAGTAAAAAAATCTACTGTATATCACACTAAAAAAATATGTTGTCGACAAACATGCTTGTTGTATGAGCGGTTTAGACGTACGAACGAACTGTCGAGGGTAGTGTGCTGAGTGGACGCGAATTGCAAGTCAAGAGTCGAGTTTGCCATTGTGTTTTAAACATGCTTGTTGTATGAGCGGTTTAGACGTACGAACGAACTGTCGAGGGTAGTGTGCTGAGTGGACGCGAATTGCAAGTCAAGAGTCGAGTTTGCCATTGTGTTTTAAACATGCTTGTTGTATGAGCGGTTTAGACGTACGAACGAACTGTCGAGGGTAGTGTGCTGAGTGGACGCGAATTGCAAGTCAAGAGTCGAGTTTGCCATTGTGTTTTAAACATGCTTGTTGTATGAGCGGTTTAGACGTACGAACGAACTGTCGAGGGTAGTGTGCTGAGTGGACGCGAATTGCAAGTCAAGAGTCGAGTTTGCCATTGTGTTTTATTGTTACATTCTAGAGTAATTACCACATCTGAGTTTAACACGACATTTGTATCTTTCTACGTAGATTTCTAATACTATGCTTGATCTGAAGAGGAAAAGGGGGACGTTTGCATGCTATTAAAAAGAGGATCACAAATATGTCTTGCAATAAATTATATATATATATCCAGGGTGGAACGAAGTTAGTGTTAAAAATCTTTATGTGTTAAACTACTTAGTATTGATGTCAAAATTGCGTTAATTTAAATTTTCATACCCTAACAGGTATGGATTTATAGTAATGTATTTAGAGTAACAGTCAAATAATGATTTTTTCAAAATATTAGTATTTTCTTACATAAAATGGCCATTAGTGCAATAAAAAATGTTTTTATTTCAAATGTAATGTCATTTTTAGAATTTTAATTGAATTTCCAATAGAAATAGTACAGAGTCACTGAGGTAAAACATCTGTATAAACATTTATTCTGCAATGGAAGTTTAAATTGAGAAAGAGAGTGATTTTTGAGAAAAATTCAAAAACTTTTACATAAGTTTTTCTATGCTAAACTGGACTTAAGGGAGTGTCAAATATTACTAAAAACTTCTTCAATCAATAACCTTTAAAATGATGTATAAAGATTTACTGTTTCTTTGCTTTTTCATTCTTAAATTTAAGAGTTTATTTTGTAAAACACGGACGGCTAATGTCTAATCTCCTGTATAAAAACATGCATTTGCTTAAATGATATGGCAACAACAGCTGCAACGATATACAAATCCCAAAGTAAACCCATGAACTTTCGAGAAAACTACAAGTCACACCATAAACCATATACTTAAAATGTTCGTCATGACGAGAAACTTTGCACAAAACTATTTCCATTATTTCATAAATTGCCCTTTAAGATCATAACTCCTTTCTAAAGGGAACTTTCCATATACCTAATGTTAAAAATACCTCAGCTGTACTTATTTGTACGTTATTCTCTCTATTTATTAGATTTTTAAAATCAGGTGGGATTATTATTTGTTCGTATTACTGTATTTTGTTTTGTTTATTTCAGCTTAAAACCAATCAATAGTTTTATAAATACTTATGAAGTCAAACGGGGTAAAGCCCGTAAACCTAAAACATTCAAATGTCTCTTTTCCTTTGTTACCTATTTAATTTATTCGTTAACATTCGTTTCTGTACCTGCAATCCTTAATTGCATACTTAATTTTCAACAAACAATTTGAACCATTATTCTTCCTCTGGGAATTTCGATTACAGATCGAAAACGCCAAAACACAGTTTTTTTCTTGGACACTAGAAAACACCAAACTTGAAGATTGTTGTTTGAAACAAATAACAAACGAGAATACAGTTACCACACAGTGTAGCGTGTGAACTGAAGCGGATTATTCTTATGTTTGAAAAGAGTCGAGCTCTAATTAACAACCTACCGAAGCACAGAAGACGCTTTCATAGTGACACAAACAGAGTGACTCGTGCCAATAAGTGACATTTTACCTTTACACATCATTACTCGAAGACATTTTCTAACTGACTCATGGTGGCTAAAAATAAAACTCGTTCTCCAATGTGCTGGGTAGCGGAGGCCGTTCTACATTATAACTTGTTATCAATTGTATTTGAGTTTCGGATCTTTAAATAAACGGTAGGCCTATAAAACATTACTCTGAGAGTAAAAATTACAAAGAGAACGATTACTACTGGATAATTTACTGCACATGCAATCACGTTTAGCTGTAATTAGTGAGAAACTTAAAACATCAAAGAAGAGAATGAGGTACGTTGGTGTGTGGCACTGCTAATTCAGAAACGTCTACAACTATGTTAACTGACTTTACAACATAATAATAATTGTAAAACCTGTACGCCTTTACTTAGTCTCTGTGTCATGTTGTAGGTAAGGGCCCATGACCGGTGAGCGGATATCTACGGTCTACACCTCAGCACAATCCGAGCATCCGGGAACATTCTGGCTAAGGTAAAACTGTGATTTTATCCTCAGTAGTTGTTTGGCCGGCCTTTCGTTTACTATTTAGTCAACATACAAACACGATTAAATCTTATTTTTTATTATTTGTGGATTTTTTGGCATCTTTGACTATATTGATACAAGTTTGGTATAAAAACGTCTACTAACAGCTTAATCGATATATCAATTTTATAATTAGACGAAAACTTACTAGTTTTTCATCCAAAGTGTTGCAGTATACAATCTACAACACGCTGCGTGCAAGTGTGTCAGTCATTCAGTCAGGTTAGCTAGTCACAGTTGTAGACGTGGTGTTGCAGTATACAATCTACAACACGCTGCGTGCAAGTGTGTCAGTCATTCAGTCAGGTTAGCTAGTCACAGTTGTAGACGTGGTGTTGCAGTATACAATCTACAACACGCTGCGTGCAAGTGTGTCAGTCATTCAGTCAGGTTAGCTAGTCACAGTTGTAGACGTGGTGTTGCAGTATACAATCTGCAACACGCTGCGTGCAAGTGTGTCAGTCTTTCAGTCAGGTTAGCTAGTCACAGTTGTAGACCTGGTGTTTCAGTATACAATCTACAACACGCTGCGTGCAAGTGTGTCAGTCTTTCAGTCAGGTTAGCTAGTCACAGTTGTAGACGTGGTGTTAAAGTATACAATCTACCACACGCTGCGTGCAAGTGTGTCAGTCATTCAGTCAGGTTAGCTAGTCACAGTTGTAGACGTGGTGTTAAAGTATACAATCTACAACTAGTACAGGTAAAATAGGGTTTTATAAACAACAAAATTTGTACATTTTTGAAATTTCACCTGTGAGTTACTAATAATATGAGAAATGAAGATCCGATGAGTCCCCAAAATTTTGGGCGTCCTAAGGCCCTTTTTGGGGCCCTTTTTGTTCTAAAGGGCCCTTGATCCTGAATAATTTTGTTTTTACGTTTAAGGTCGAGTGAGGTGTGGTTTTCGATGGTTTTAGTTATTTTAAATCGATTGGGACTAGTTTTAAGTGTATTAAACCACTCCATACAGGGTAATTCGAAATATTATTACTTTTTACGATATTTAAACATTTATTCATAAAGTAATAAAATTGGTTACCTCCATGCTCCATATAAAAGGGGATTATTGAAAATAATTGTAATTCTTTACTACGTAAGGGAAAAGGATCCCAAGGAGTAAGATATTAGATACCCCCGTCACAGCAAACCTGCAGACCTAGCGAATTTCCGTTTTACTTACTTGATTTTCAATTAAATCTAAAATAGCATTGCGTTTCACGATTACCTAGGTTTGCTGCTACAAGGAGGCTAATAAAGTGTGTTTATAGTAAAATATTAATAGCCTAGTATAAAACAAATAAATTTGACAAGTTTGATCAAGATATATCTATTAACAAACAAACAAAATCATGTTACACTATTCTACATAAGAATAACATGGGAATTTTAAATTTACAATTTTAGTATTTTTATCCGTAACCAATAACCATACAAAAACACTTTAATATAATAAATTATTTGTGTTTAAGCTATTTAAAATGTTCTAGAGAAAAATTGGGAAACTTTGTGTATTTAGGGTAAAGTAATTGAGAAAACTCAATTTTTACCCCATAAACCTCGTTCCCAATGTTCAGGACAAAAATGCTTGTACCGACAATGCCGCACTGATGTCTTAGTGCTGTCCTGGTCGTCATAACCATTAAAGACAACCTTACTTGTATTAATTGAAAATAATTTTCAGGAACTTAAGATACAAGTTGCAAACGTCAGTATGTATGAAAGGTGTTTTTGTTGCACCACATTGTTCGTGTTTTAATAATGGTGTTGCCTGTTCTGCAATATGCAAGGTTTGTAAAGGGGAATCCCACTTGAACACCAACTTGGACAAAATCAGTAAAGATGGACAAGTTGCTAAGAATAATAAAATTGTTAATGAGTCGTCTGAGAATAATTATTGTGATGATGAAATTGTAAAGAGATATACTACGGAAATTGTAAACAAATAGCTTTAGTTTAAGTAAATTTTTAGTTTAAGTCATTTTAATATGTAATGTGAGGATACAAATTCAATTGTTTTAATTTTTAATTAATGTAAAAAACCGTAAATAACTACTAAATACCTAAGAAAAATACATATCAATTTGAAATTGGTCTTAATAGATTTGCATAAAAAACACATTGAAAGATTATTCACACCACCTTAAAAGTTGAAATTTTTGCGTGGTAACCTATGTTATTATGTTATAGTGTAAAACTTAATCCATACCCTTTTACCCATCATATAACCTAACCCCCCCCCCCTTAAAGGGGATAACTTATCCCCCTTTAACTTCCCATATAGGAAATAAGCTATTACCGAAGGTCTTATGGTAAAACATAGACCCGAAACCGATTTACGTTTTCATTTCGATGCCCCCAGAAGCCTAAATCACATTCCACACAAAATAATATATATGTGTTTATATACATATATATAATAAATATATCCATGTTATATACGCGTCCGTAAACATGATAACTCGAGTAATTTTGGTTCAATTTTAACAAAACCGGCATAATCGGTCCATGGAACAGGGTTTTATGTGGTAAAAAATGGTAATCTTTGACCCTCAAAATACAAAGTTTCCCAATTTTCTCTAGAGCATTTTAAAGAGCTTAAAGAAAACAAATAATTTAGTATATTAACGTGTTTTGTAAGTGTATTGGTTACGAATGAAATTCAAAAATTGTAAACTTAAAATTCCATGTTATTCTTAAGGAGAATAGTGTAATATGATTTTGTTTGTTTGTTTATAGATATGTCTTAATAAAACTTGTCAAATTTATTTGTTCTATACTAGGCTATTAATATTTTACTATAAACACACTTTATTAGCCTCCTTGTAGCAGCAAACCTAAGTATTCATTAAACTCAATGCTATTTTAGATTTAATTGAAAATCGGGCAAATGAAAATTCGCTTAGTTTGCAGGTTTGCTGTGACGGGGGTATTTAAATATTTTCTCTTACTCCTTGTGATGCTTCCCTCTTATATAGTAAATAATTAAATTAATTAATTTTCAATAATCCTCTTTTATATAGACCATGGAGGTAATTAATTTTATTACTTTATGAATAAATCTTTAAATATCGTAAAAAGTATTTATATTTTGAAACACCCTGTATGGAGTGGTTTAATACACTTAAAACTAGTCCCAATCAATTCAAAATAGCTAAAACCATCGAACACCACACCTCACTCGACCATAAACGTAAAAATGAAATTATTCAGGAACATGGGCCCTTCGAAAAAAAGGGCCCCAAAAGGGCCTAAGGACGCCCAAAATTTTGGGGACTCATCGGATCTTCATTTCTCATATTATTAGTAACTTACGGGTAAAATATCATGAATGTACAAATTTTGTTGTTTATATGGAGTGTTTTTGTATTATTTTACCTGTACTAAACACGCTGCGTGCAAGTGTGTCAGTCATTCAGTCAGGTTAGCTAGTCACAGTTGTAGACGTGGTGTTGCAGTATACAATCTACAACTCGCTGCGTGCAAGTGTGTCAGTCATTCAGTCAGGTTAGCTAGTCACAGTTGTAGACGTGGTGTTGCAGTATACAATCTACAACACGCTACGTGCAAGTGTGTCAGTCATTCAGTCAGGTTAGCTAGTCACAGTTGTAGACGTGGTGTTGCAGTATACAATCTACAACACGCTGCGTGCCAGTGTGTCAGTCATTCAGTCAGGTTAGCTAGTCACAGTTGTAGACGTGGTGTTGCAGTATACAATCTACAACACGCTGCGTGCAAGTGTGTCAGTCATTCAGTCAGGTTAGCTAGTCACAGTTGTAGACGTGGTGTTGCAGTATACAATCTGCAACACGCTGCGTGCAAGTGTGTCAGTCTTTCAGTCAGGTTAGCTAGTCACAGTTGTAGACCTGGTGTTTCAGTATACAATCTACAACACGCTGCGTGCAAGTGTGTCAGTCATTCAGTCAGGTTAGCTAGTCACAGTTGTAGACGTGGTGTTGCAGTATACAATCTGCAACACGCTGCGTGCAAGTGTGTCAGTCTTTCAGTCAGGTTAGCTAGTCACAGTTGTAGACGTGGTGTTGCGGTATATAATCTACAACACGCTGCATGCAAGTGTGTCAGTCATTCAGTCAGGTTAGCTAGTCACAGTTTTAGACGTGGTGTTGCAGTATACAATCTACAACACGCTGCATGCAAGTGTGTCAGTCATTCAGTCAGGTTAGCTAGTAACAGTTGTAGACGCGGTGTTGCAGTATACAATCTACAACACGCTGCATGCAAGTGTGTCAGTCATTCAGTCAGGTTAGCTAGTCACAGTTGTAGACGTGGTGTTGCAGTATACAATCTACAACACGCTGCATGCAAGTGTGTCAGTCATTCAGTCAGGTTAGCTAGTCACAGTTGTAGACGTGGTGTTGCAGTATACAATCTACAACACGCTGCATGCAAGTGTGTCAGTCATTCAGTCAGGTTAGCTAGTCACAGTTGTAGACGTGGTGTTGCAGTATACAATCTACAATACGCTGCATGCAAGTGTGTCAGTCATTCAGTCAGGTTAGCTAGTCACAGTTGTAGACGTGGTGTTGCAGTATACAATCTACAACACGCTGCATGCAAGTGTGTCAGTCATTCAGTCAGGTTAGCTAGTCTAAGTTGTAGACGTGGTGTTGCAGTATACAATCTACATCACGCTGCGTGCAAGTGTGTCAGTCATTCAGTCAGGTTAGCTAGTCACAGTTGTAGACGTGGTGTTGCAGTATACAATCTACATCACGCTGCATGCAAGTGTGTCAGTCATTCAGTCAGGTTAGCTAGTCTAAGTTGTAGACGTGGTGTTGCAGTATACAATCTACATCACGCTGCGTGCAAGTGTGTCAGTCATTCAGTCAGGTTAGCTAGTCACAGTTGTAGACGTGGTGTTGCAGTATACAATCTACAACACGCTGCATGCAAGTGTGTCAGTCATTCAGTCAGGTTAGCTAGTCTAA